GGATCTTCTTATTTTACCTTTGTTCTAAGGATAAATAAATATTTATAATTTTAAAATAGTGTTTTGAATTCTTATATTTCTAATTATTTATTTAATAAAATTCATACAATAAATGTGGTAATCATATTATGAAAATTTAAGATACAATATCATTTTGACAAAAAAAATTATTAAAATTTAAAATAAATAAAATTATTTGATCTCAAAAATACATTTAATATTTGCAATTTTTATTTAAATATTAATATAAATAATTTACAATGGCGTCACAAGAGGGTGGCGCAGAGGCTCGAGCCCCCTAATAAATTTGAATAGCCCCCTGAAGCAAATAAAAAATTCATGGCTGCTTAATATTCCCTTGAACTAAAAATAAATTTTTTGATTGCTCCTTAATGATTTTTTTTAAAATTCATTAAGTAATATATAGATTTAATTTTATTAGTTAAAAATTAATACCCCTATCTAAATTTTTATTAAATGAATACCATTTTAGTTATTAGATTATATTAATACATATTAATTATATTTTCATTATGTCAGCTTGCAATCAAATTCTGTGTTAAAAATAGAATATCAATATCACTCAATATTAATTTAGCAATAATAGTTGAAGCTTAATTGATTTTTATTATTTAAATTATTATATAACCCTAATTAATTTAATATAATCATTTATAAAATGAAAATTAACAAATTTAATATTGTAATTAGCTGAGTTAAAAATCACTATTCGACTATATTACTCATCTTTAATTTTAATTAACATCTCTTTTCCTTAAAATTTTCAAAGTCCAAATAAGTATAAGTGATTTCTTTATAAAAAGTAAGTAGTCATATAGTTTATAATCCTCTGTTATATATAATTGTATATAAAATATTAGGTAAGATGCTTTGACAGTTATAAAATATATTAGAGTTAATATTTTAATAAATCTTACTAATAAATGCTTATGATAATAAATATAAGTAACAATTTGCATTCAATTCTTTAACGACATCTATTTATTTATGTGTTTTTAGGAAAGCTATTTTTTTCTTCTTTGAAAAACAGTTTTGAGTTAAATTTTTAACACGAGTATATTATTGATATTATTTGTATATAATAAATTTGAAAATTTATATCACGCATTCATTAAATGATTTTCATTTTTATATTCTGATATATTCAAATTGTACAATTATACATTTATCTTTATTTTTGCTTTTGCTTTTTGTTTTACAACTTAACCTATTGATTTTATTACATTTGCTTTTTGTTTTATAACTTAACCTTTTGATTATATATTCTAATTTTAGATATAAAAAAGATATATACCATATGAAATATAAAAAAAGAAAACATTTTTTTATTTTAAGACAATAGCATCTACATTATTACAAACTACTATTATTTTAAGATATAATATACCAACTAGAGGTGGTGCGACAATAATATATAAAATCTTAATTGCTTTCATCATATCACTCTGGTTCTTATTTTATAACTACAAAATGTTTCATTTCTTTTCTAATATGGCATCCTTGATATGTAAATAACTGAAGGCTTCAATATATTTGCATAATTTCTTCTAATTAGTATTTTTATTTTATCAATTTATCTAACTAAATTCTGATATAAGTTAACATCGTGGATGTCATGGCTATGACTGCAAATTAACCAGCATCTATTATTTGTGCATCTATGTAATTTTAGATTATTTCTATAGCTGCTGAGAGCAAATTTTAGACAAGCCATAATGGTCAACTGTGTAGTCGTTTATATTCACTAAAAATGGAAGATAATCTTTTAGAAATATAAAATCTAAAAATAATTTTCTCGATTACTTATCTAGCTTCCATCATGTCATCTAAGAGGAAGTTCTAACTGCCATATAGTTTTATGATTTAGATTTGGTCGTTTATATTCTCTTCTTCAAGAATTGATAATTTGATTAGTATAAATTTTTCCTTATTGCTCCATTCTATAAAACATTGTGTAAAATGGTAACAGAGAGTTATATTAGTTTCATGGTAAGTTGCTAAGAATTATATTGCCTTATGTGGTTTTTATAAACCATTATCAATTGAGGCAAGCATATGTATGAATTAATTAACCTTTTTTATCACTTGTAATTCTTTAGACACAAATTTTTTTTATATCAGCTGATTAGAGTTGTTAAAACGCTGCGAGTCGCGACTCCGACCCAAAGTTAGGGTCGTTTTTTTCGACTCCGACTCAAAGTTTGGGTTGTTTTTTTCGACTTTGACTCAGAGTTTGGGTCGTTTTTTTCGACTCAGACTTAAAGTTTGATCTTTTTTTATCGACTCAGACTTGAAGTTTGGGTCGTTTTATCGACTCAGACTTGATGTTTGGGTCGTAAAGTGAAAATTGTCATAATCGTCATTTTGAACTTTTTTCAATTTTTTTTAAAGCAAATAGGTAAAAATATATTTTGCAAACATGTTAAATTAAAATTTCAGTGAAAATGTACCATAGGAAAGTGACAATTGCCATAATCGTTATTTTTGAACTTTTTTCAACTTTTTAAGGCAAATGGGTAAAAATATATTTTGTAAACATGTTAAATTAAAATTTCAGTGAAGATGTAGTGACAATTGTCATAATCGTCTTTTTTGAACTTTTTTCAATTTTTTTAAGGCAAATGGGTAAATATATTTTGCACACATGTTAAATTAAAATTTCAGTGAAGGAAAGTGATTTGTTATAATCGTTATTTTTGAACTTTTTCAATTTTTTTTAGACAAATGGGTAATATAATTTGCAAACATGTTAAATTAAAATTTCATTGAAGATGTACCATAGGAAAGTGGCAATTGTCATAATCGTTATTTTTGAACTTTTTTGAATTTTTTTAAGGCAAATGGCTAAAAATATAATTTGTAAACATGTTAAATTAAAATTTCAGTGAAGATGTAGTGACAATTGTTAAAATCGTCATTTTAAACTTTTTTCAATTTTTTAAGGCAAATGGGTAAAAATATATTTTGCAAACATGTTAAATTAAAATTTCAGTTAAGATGTACCATAGGAAAGTGACAATTGTCATAATCGTTATTTTTAAACTTTTTTCAATTTTTTAAGGCAAATGTAAAAATATATTTTGTAAACATGTTAAATTAAAATTTCAGAGAAGATATAGTGACAAATGTCATAATCGTCATTTTTGAACTTTTTTCAATTTTTTTAAGGCAATGGGGTAAAAATATATTTTGCAAACATGTTAAATTAAAATTTCAGTGAAGATGGACCATAGGAAAGTGATTTGTCATAATTGTTATTTTTGAACTTTTCTAAAAAAATTTTAGACAGATGGGTAATATAATTTGCAAATATGTTAAATTAAAATTTCATTGAAGATGTACCATAGGAAAGTGGCAATTGTCATAATCGTCATTTTTGAACTTTGTTCAATTTTTTTAAAGCAAATGGGTAAAAATATAATTTGTAAACATGTTAAATTAAAATTTCAGAAGATGCACCATAGGAAAGTGGCAATTGTCATAATCGTCAATTTTGAACTTTTATCATTTTTTTTAAAGCAAATGGGTAAAAATATATTTTGTAAATATGTTAAATTTAAATTTCAGTGAAGATGTACCATAGGAAAGTGACAATTGTCATAATCGTTATTTTTGAATTTTTTGAATTTTTTAGGCAAATGGGTAAAAATAAATATTGTAAATATGTTATATTAACATTTCAGTGAAGATGCCTCATATATATTAGACAAATTGTCATAATCATTATTATTATACTTTTTTGAATTTAATTGAAGCTAATAGATAAAAATATATAATGTAATTAAATAAGTCAAAAAAAACAATTAAGCTAAAACCGTATTTAAAATTTTATCGAGTCATTTAACAATACACAGGGTTTGCAAGTCGGTCAATTGACCTGTCAAATTCAGTCAATTGAATGGATGAGTATGTGACCTGGTCAAATACTCTAAAAAAAAATCTAAAGGAAAAATCATTAAAAATAGGTTTAAAAAAGAGAAAAAAGATAGAAATAATGTCCATATGAAACAAACAATTTCGACCTCAAGTTAATAGATTTAACCTTGCCCACCATGTCCATTAAAAGACAAAGAATTCCTATTTCTACTTCTTTTTAGAAAGAAATATGTTAATTTGGGTTAATATTCTTATGAAAATTGAAATCGATTGAAGATCTCTACATCAGGAAAATTGATTAAAATTATTAAAGAAAGTGATAATATTGAATATAAATCAGAACAAGACTCTGCTACGGAGATCTAAATGTTAGTTATTGAATGACAATGAATTTTTAAAAAATTAATATTACTATTATATTCAAAATAAAGTTAATATTCACTTAAAAAAACATATATTTGAATTTGATCTGTCATATATTAGTCAATGGACCGAAACGTATTTGACCGGTCAAATGCACAACCCTGACAATGCAACCCCAATCTTTTAATAAATAACTAATAATTGAATCATATCAAGCAGGCGCGTACGCAGGAATTTGGTCTGGGGGGGATAATAAATTTTTTTAAGAAATAATATTTTTAATTAAAAATACTAAGCATAAATTTATTAGGATTAATAACTTTTCTAATACACAATTTTAAACTAATGTGAATTAAAAAAATTATATATATAAACCGGCATTTAAATGTGAATCATAAAATATAAAGTGAATATAACCCACGATATGAATTACTTAAATGATGAAATTTGAATTTTTTGAGCTTTTAAAATATATAAAGTATAAAAAATTTAAATGTTGTAAACAGCGTCTACATGGCCGGGTGGGGGGGGGGGGTAGGAGACAAATGCCTCCAAAATATATTTGCATTTTTGGGGGTAGGCATTATTTTTTTGGGGGTAGGTATTGATTTTTGGTGGGTAATTTTTGATTTGAATTATAATCTTTTTTTAATCCATTAATTGATACGATTATGATGGTTATCGTTTGATTTTCTGAAAAATGTCAATTAAAGTAAAGATATTTGTCAATTAATAAATAATATAAATTTTCTTTGTCAACGATTTTCATTTAGCATTTTATCAAGTTAATATTTACACATTTCCTATTTGGTACTTTTCTTAGAGGTTAATATATTTATATTATGTTTTTTAATAAATTTATAGATTTTAGCAGGATAAATTTTAGGTAATTTTTTGAGTCATGCATAAAAACATATATCAGCAAGCAAAGAATAATAAAAAATATAATATGTAAAAAATTATATTATAATAATTATTTCTTTCTAGATGCCAAGTAACAAAACCATATTTAAAGTTAAGTGCAATATTAAAAATTGCAAAACTTCTAAAATAAGAAGTGACAAGATACATGAACATTATAAACATAAACATCCTCATGTCAAGCCAGCTGATATGAAATTTACAAAGGTAGCCATCAAAAGAGATAATAATAATTGGGTATCTTTAAATTGTGATATTCCATATAATATCACAAATGGAGTTGAAACCCAGTTGCAAAAAAAGACAATAACATCTTACTTCCAAAAAGTAATATTTTTATTTATTATTGTAACTATAAATTTGTGAATTAATAGAAACTGATTTAAAATTTTACCAGAATAATATTAATATTAAAGTAGTCAGGGTATAGAGAAAATAAATTATATATATTATTATTTAATGTTTTTTAACTGTTTATCACACTATTTTTATATCTATATATACTTTATAAAGTTCAATTTAACAATATGTTTAATAAGTTAATAATAATAATTTAAAACCAAAATATTAAAAAAACTTATTAAGTTAATATAATGTAGTAAAATAAGGTAATGTTAATTTCTAGGAATTTTTAAATTTAAATCTTTTCATCTTTAATTGAATTAAGACTTCAAATTCTTTTACTTTTTTTAAATATAAATCTTATTAAATATGATTTGGAATCAACTATTTTCAAAATGTTATCTGTGTGAGTTTCATCCCCTTTATTTACATTATGTGTTATATTAGGTATGTTTATTATCATTGTTTTATTTAGCTATTAGAATTTCTTTAGATAATATACTTTCATCATGAATTTCACAATTTTATTTATACTTAATATTGTTTTTATTTTTATAGTCATTATAATATTGTTTTATGATTTCTTCATGTGATCGCAGTTTTATATTAATCTGCATCTATCATGCCTATGAATCTTTCAAGTATATTTTAAAAATGTTTTTACATGATCTAACAAAGTCATATTGATGTTTATGATTATTGCGTTCAAAATATGTGAATTCCCTTTGTATTCTACATTCACTTGTGCTTTACCTATTACTTGTATCATCTTTCCATTGTAACCTGATAACTTTATGTTGGACTTCATAATATTTTTAATACCTGTTTTCTCAATCATGTATTCATGTAGAATTAAAACATTTATTAAAAACTTAATTATAATGTAGTTAAAAAAAATTATCATTTGCCTAAAAATTTATTAAAAATATAGTTATCATAAGGAAAGAAATTAAACTCCTCTTTATTTATAGAAAATCTCAGTTATTGAAGATTCACAAATTGTATTATCTCCTCATCCAATCCCCAGTTCCAGTGAGGTGTTTACTTTATATGATGAGGTATTTAATTTAAATACGAATTATATGATAACTTTTGAAAGAAATAAATTATGATTATGAGGTTAATTAAATATTTCCAACCTTTATTAAAAACTTAATTATAATGTAGTTAAGAATAAAATGACCATTTGACTAAAATTTTATTAAAAATATAGTTTTTCATAAGTAAACAAATTATACTCTTTATAGCAAATCTCCAATATTGAAGATTCACAAATTGTATTATCTTCTCATCCAATCCACAGTTCCAGTGAGGCGCTTACTTTGCATGATGAGGTATTTAATTTAAATACGAATTATATGATAACTTTTGAAGAAAATAAATTAGGACATTTAAATATTTCCAACATTTATTGATTAACTTAATTATAATGTAGCTAAGAATAAAATGACCATTTGGCTGAAATTATATTAAAAATAGATTTTCATAAGTAAACAAATTATACTCTTTATTTATAGCAAATCTCAAATATTGAAGATTCACAAATTGTATTATCTCCTCATCCAATCCCCGGTTCTAGTGAGGCACTTACTTTGCATGAGGCATTATATTTAAATAAAATTTATATAATGACTTTTGAAGGGAATAAATTATGAGGATATTCAAAGTCCAAGTCTTATTCAGCTATACAAAAAAAAGGAACCAAATGACCCTTTTCACTTTATATTATTTAGGATGACAAATATTTTGATAAATTTCATAATTGCTGTAGGCCCTTGTCAGCCATGTACAAATAAATTTCAATATCCTGTTACTAACAAGAGGTTTTAAATAATATTTATTTTCATTAATTTTTACCCATCCATTATTTCTATACCAATATATTTTTTTTTACTTTTTAAACAGGAGCATGAATATAACCTATTATAGAAAGGTTAATATAGATGGTTCCCTCAACCCCAGAAATTGGCTATCTTATAGCACTACTTTAGACAAAGTCTTTTGTCTATATTGTATTATGTTTGGTGGCCCTAAGTCCAATACTTTTTGGACTCAACATGGGGTAAATAATTGGAAAAACATAAAGCGTGACTTAGAGAGACACGAAGCATCTTCTCTTCATAAAGATTGTGAATATGCAAACATGACTTGGCTTGCAAATAAACGCATTCAAGATCATTTGCTATCAAATAAGCTTGATATAATCATGGAAAATCGTAATATAGTTCATAATATTATCAATGCCATTATGTACCTTATAAAATGTAATATAGCCTTTTGGGGTTCTAATTCGAATGAAGGTAATTTTATGTGTCTCATAAAATTAATGGCAAAAACGGTTCCAACTTTACGTGCATACATGGATAACAACGAAAAATTGCGGAGAAAAAAATCAGATAAAATTTCGAGACCTTATATAAATTTACTGTCATATGGCCACGTGAAAAAAATAACTGAAATTATTAAGATAAAAATAACAAAAAGCATTATTCAAACAATTAAAGAGAATCGTGCCTATAGCATCATATTAGATGGAACATATGATGTGTCTAAAAAAGAATGCATAGCTTTGCTTGTACGGTATATAGAAGATGATCTGCATCCACATCCTGTAGAAAGGATCATACATGTTTTTACAACATCAGAAACCACTGGGGAAAATATAAAGAAACATGTTTTTTCTAAGTTTAATGATCTTGGTCTTCCTCTTGATTATTTGGTTGGACAAAGTATGGATGGTGCAGGGAATATGAGAGGAGTATACAAAGGAATGCAGGCTTTAATATTGAAAGAGGCTCCAAAAGCCATCTATATTTGGTGCCATGCACATCGGCTAAATTTAGTAGTTGCTCATGTTTGTGGATGCAAAATTGAAATGAAAAAGGCAATGAGAATATTAGATGAGTTATATAATTTTATGAATGGAGTTAGACGTCAAGGTGTGTTTGTTAAATATCAAATGAGAAAGTCCAAGAAATCTCTTAAAAGAATTAAAAACACAACAAGGTAAATAAAATATTTTTAATGAAACTTGAAACTTATATATTTTCAGAAATTGGTCATCATCCTACAAATCTGTAGAAATCTTTTTAGATGTTTATGAACATATTTTAGCATCATTAGTTGAATTAAAAGATTCTAATGACCCAAGCACCTCTTCCATTGCCGATGGGTTATTATCAAGAATTAAAGATGAAAATTTTATATTAAGTCTTTTTATTTTGAAAGAAATATTGAAATGTACACATGAGGCTTGTATTGAAATGCAGGCAGTTGGTAATGATTTGGCTTTGGTAACCAACAACATACAAAAAATAAATTACAAAAACTAAAAGGTTAATATTAGTTACTATTTCTATAAATAATTTTAAAATATAGCTAATGGAGACAATATATTTTTAAAATTACATTCCTTATCTAATAGTTTTTTGAAAAAGAATAATGTTATAACTGATTTGTATAATATGAAATCAATATTCAAATTGGATCAAACAGAATTCAATAATTATGTTGAACAAAAAAAAACAAGTTGAATAAATTAAAAAAATTTAAATTATTATTTATTATTATAGATATAGAACGGAAATATTTTTCCCTGTTCTAAATGCAATAATTAATCACCTAAATGATCGATTTAATTATGATTGTTTAAATTTTTTATCACAGATATCCATTTTTACTCCAGCTGGAATTATGGATAATGAAAAAATAGAAGGATGGCAAATATCCGAAATTTGTAATACTTATCAATTGGATGTCCAAAACATTGTTGATGAATATAATGATTTTCGCTCTTTATATTTGGAGTCTCAATCAATCATTTTTTGCGAAGATCTTTTAAAAGTTAAAAAGAATGACGCGTTATATATTGATGAAAGTAATTTATTGATATTTTATTTGTAATTGTATATAATTAAAGGTATTGCAAACGATCAAATTACCAAAGAAAATATCAACAGCGAAATCATGACCAAAATAAAAAAATGGATAAAATTTTCTTTTATATTACCATACCGACTTTTAAATCAATTAAATTCTTATTCAAATTTAAATTTATTATATAAATATTTATTAACCCTTCCTACAACTTCCTGTTCAGCCGAAAGAGCCATGAGTAAAAATTAACAAAACTCGAATGCGGAATAAAATTTCGGACCCATTTTTGGAAAATTTACTGTTAATATCCAGCGAAATTGATGTTTTTGAAAAATTTACAATTGATGATATTATAACACAATTTGCTTTAACATCAATAAGGTTATCCAAATTATTAATAAAATAATTAATGTATCTTTTTCACAGCGAATATATAGGCTTTTAAATAATGTATATTTAATTTAACATTTTATAATTTCTATGCAAAATATACTATAATTCATTTTATTCTAATATTTTATATAATAGCTCTATTTACAATACATGTTTTTAATTATGTGGAATCAAGCTAAATATACCTCTTTAAATTTATTCGTCTTATATTTTTTACAATATTTTAGATCTTTTTCATAGAAATATTAATATGTTATCTCATTTAATTCACTTATATATATTTTATGAAAATAAAGTGAATACCAAATTATGAAAAGATTGCATTATTTAAATAAAAGTTCATTATCACTTACAAATTTTTAAATTTTTTTTCCCTAAATAGGCTTGAAAGATTGTAAATAGAATTATGTTGTAAGGTTATAAATGGTGGCAGATAAGATTTTTTAAATAAAATCACTATACCATCGTAGGTCTGTAAATTTCGCGGCCGAAGGCCGCAGGATTTTTTTTAGGTGGGTATGGGTAGATTTTGGAGGGGTTTGCCTCCATCAAATTTTCTGCCATGTAGACGCTGGTTGTAAATATAAATTAATACACAAAACTTTTCTTAGGAATAATTGTATTTTGTATGTTTTGAGCTAATTTTTCAATTATCAATCCTTGCTTGGCGTTAAATGTCTATGAATATTCAAAAGATCCAAATCATTCAATCTACTTTCAGATGTTGTATTTCATAGGTATGTTTTTCACAGACTTGCAGGCCCGGCCCCTGAGCCGGACCGTATTTTAATTTTTTTAAATATACCCGGGCCGGGCTCGTAATTTTTTTTTTAAAAACACCCGGGCTGGGCCTGAAAATTTTTTAAGAAAAAATATCCGAGCCGAGTTGTATATTTTAAAACCAAATATTTGAAATCGCCATTATTAGCTATAAATATCAAAAATAAATATAATTTATTTTAAAAAATTCGGGCTAAGCCAGCCGGGCCGGGCCTGAAAATTTTTTTAATAAAAACCCGGGCCGGAAAAAATTTTAAAATAAAATCTGGGCCTGGTCCTGCAAATGGTACCTCTGCAAGGCTCTGTTATTCTTCTTAAAAAAGTGAATGTTCTCTCATTAGTTTACTAAAGAGCTGCTAATATATATATAACCATTTTAATAATTGGGAGTATAATCTAAAATGTGTTTGAAATAAAAAGCATCCATAGCATTTTTTGGGACTTTATCAACCATAGTTAATCTTTTAATCATAGTTATTCAGCTAATAAGGCATCATAAGATATTTTAACATCTTCATGATAAAAATATAACAAATATTTATATTTTTTTTCTATCACCATATGAAAAAGGTTGGGACATTTGTTTTATAATACTCTTCTACTGATCCTATATTAATGTTTTGATGATGAGCTTGCTTGCTGCAAGTCGAGGGGGACAAATATTTAACACGTATAGCTCTGCTTTTGACTCAACAATAACATATAAAATATGAAATTCTTCAACAACACTAGCTCTATTTCCTTGAGTTCTAATAAAATGCTCTCCGCTATTCTCATCTTCTTAATCAAATCAATGTTATGTTTTTGAAAAGTATTACATAAAATAGTTGTATAATTAAATAATACATTCTAATGAGAAAAAAAATTTGGAATAAGTATTGAATCCAATAATTTTCTTGCTTCTGAGGAAATATTTCTTTCAAGCCATTGTGATATTTCAGTAATAGCATTAATAATCAGCTCTTCTAACTCCAAAATAGCTGTTACTGTGGCGAAGACTCGATCTCGTTGGACAAGCTTGCAATTTTTTTCTCCCTGTTGGACAAGGAGTTTCAGAGATAATTATTATTTTATTAGAAATTTAGATAAATATTACGCCACTAAAATTTGAAAATAATAGGTAAATTACGCCAAGGAAAACTTGAAATCGAAATTGATTGATAAAATAACTTAGTAGATGAATGTGATAAATAAAATATATATATATATATATATATGTATATATGAGATAAGAATAAATATTAACAAATATAAATTAATATTAACAATAATATTTTTGAAAAATATAATCCGGCATCTGCATTTTTTGGCTTTGGGGGGATTTGTCCCCCTGTCCCCCCCCCCCCGCTGCATACGCGCCTGATATCAAGCATTTTGAATATTTTAATTTTTCTAAAACTAAAATGTGTCCAAAGTGTTTTGTTATTAATTTGCAAAAATTTTAAATTTTAAGGATTTTTTCAAAACATTTTGGACGCAGCCTAAATAAAGATGTTTAATAATAAACATTTATTTAAAATATTTTGTCTCGTTTGATCAAATTATTTTCTTTTATATATAATATAAATAAAGTAACTCCACTACAAAGTAGAAATTAAAACTAAATATTAAATATTAAGGGTGATCGGGGATATAATGAACCCCGGGTTATAGCGAGACGCGGCTTTATTTTCTAGAGTATTAAACTTTAAGGGATAATTTTTTTACCAAAACTATATAATTATATAATGCATATACGGCTATAATTTTTATTTCTATCAGACAGCTTGAAGAATTTTAATAATGCATTATATAATTCGTACCTGCAAAAGTAACTTTTAAAATCTTAACTATTTTTCAAAAATAAAGATAAATATACATCCACCCAAAAATCATCTTATATAATAGAAAATATATTTTATAAAATATCAATGTACCCGAACAAAATTGATACTACAAAATATGATCGTGGTGCCATTTGGGGCCATTTTTATGAGATTTAGAATGAGCATTTTTCCCTATTTTTTTTAAATTTTAACATGGAAAAAAAGGTCGCGGAGAGAGCAAATAAAAGAAAAAATCAAAAAATATTATTAATAAGAAAAACATTTGTTTAGTGTGCCAAAAATTATTACAATTATCATAACAAACAAGACTGGTTTCAATGTCGTAAATATAGATATTGGTCACATGGAAGATGTAGCAGTTTTAATCCTTTTTTTATTTGCAAAGATTGTGAATAATGTTCCCATTTTTTTGTTTATAAATGGACTTGATTTTATATATTACTTTTATGCTTTATATTATTAAATATTTGGGAAATTAAGCAGAGCTTATAAGAGCCCCGAGCAAAGAGAGTAGGGTTCACTAATTTCCAAAAAAAAATTCCAGAAAAAATAAGATTCTGATTAAAAGTAATAGATATGTATTTTTGAAATTTAAAACTACCATAAAACTAATAGATTAACAAAATGAGATATTTTTTGTTAAAAATGATAAAATACTTTTAATTTTATTAAGGCTTGCCTTTTAGGGTTCGCCATAACTGCGGTTTCCCCTACCTATTTTGATAAATATTACCAATTTTAATATTGAATATATTTTAATTAGGTTTAAAATAGTAAAAAATTAAAAAGGGAGTAAATAAGATTATAGGATACGCCATAAGAAGCAAAAATTTATTCGTTATATGCAAATAGCGTAAAATTGAAAGCTGTACCGTCAGAAGAAATTAATTTTTTTAATCTAATTTTTATATATCCAATTCTAGCTTAAAAAGTTTAAAATGCCGAATGGGGTGAAATAAATATAGACCAACGATAAGGTAATTTATTTTTTGAAAAGTGGCAATGTGAAAATTAATATTAAAACTAAAATCCTAAAAAACCTCGAATATTTAACATTTTTCTAAATATTAATAAACAATAAATAATTTGTGAAAATTTAGTTTAATGTATAATATAAAAACAAAAATTAAAAATTCTCAACAAATCTTCCATCTGGTAGACACCATGCCAAATAAAATAAAATTTCTTTTCTAATTAGAACATTAAATATCCAACATTTCCTTAAGGAATTTTAAAACTAATATAACATTATATTTTTTATAAGTATTTGCGGAATCATTTTTTTAATTATAAAATATAAATTTTTATTTAAAAGCTAATTAAAGATTATAAATATTTTGATACAAGGTAGTGGTCAGACCCCAAAATATACTGCTGTCCATCAGAGATTTTTTCAAAGTAATTTTCTTTTATATATATATTGATGCTACTAATAAAATTAAAAATGAATCGTTCATATATTATATAAATTCGTTATTTGCACCAATATACTCTAAAATACATATTAGTAAGAAGAATTCCTATTTTGCATACAAGAATTTTGGCCGTCTCGTTCTAATGGACAAATATTCTACAAACCCCCTTGAATTGCCCTAAAATATTCATTGGCCTTTAATACATATCATAATTTTAAATATAATTTTATATTCGAAAATTTTTTTAAAACGATTTTATTATGAAAATCATTTTCTTATATACATATTTATATCTTGGATATCATTTAATATGAATAAAAC